ATATGTAACCTGAAAAAATGGAACACTAGAAGAAGACAACTCTGGGGGGAATCGCTTGCGCAAAATACTCCCTAACTAGGGATCAACAAAGGACAAATCGCGAGGTCTTTCTAAAAAAAATTAGACAGGACAGAAAAAGTGTTTGATTTCAAAAGAAAAAGTCAAAAGAAAAAACTATTTTATTCAACAACCGAGAACCAATCTAGAAAAAAATTAATCTACAATCTATTAAGTAACTTCTTAGCTGACAAAAAAGTAAAATGAAAAGTCAAAGAAAAACAACAAAAACCCCAAAATTAGTTAAAATACCTCAGACCGTAAACTTGAGACTTGGAAATTCAATTTTTTTAGACCCAGTAAACCTTAACCTTTTAGTAAAAGACTCTCAATAAATATCAGCAGTACAAAAAAACAGAACCAGGTAATAAAAAAGTAATGACCAAAAAAACCAAACCAGAACCAAAACCAAACCAGAACCAAACCAGAACCAAAACCAAACCAGAACCAAACCAGAACCAAACCAGAACTAAAACCAAACCAGAACCAAAACCAAACCAAAACCAAACCAGAACCAAAACCAAACCAAAACCAAACCAGAACCAAAACCAAACCAAAACCAAACCAAAACCAAAACCAAACCAAAACAAAACCAAAACCAAAACCAAACACAGTATCAAGAAAATGCACAAATCAATTACAATCAAACTTCAACAACCAAGTCCACTGCAGGTCCTACACATCTGCAGAGCAGACTTTATATACATGTGCACTCCTTGGCTGCTGACCTGCTTATTGAACAAAGACCCTAAGCATGCCTGGTCCTTGTTGTTGTAGTAGAATTAATGGCATGTACGGCATACGCTAGTGCCCTTTATGCCATGAGCAAAAGGTCGCTTAGCCATGTGGTAGTACGGCTAGAAATTCAAATAGCTAAAGACACTTGATCAGACAGTAAACAGTGGATATTATGAGAGCCGGAAAGGAAAAAGAAAAGGACATCAAAAAATGAAGAACGGCATTAACATGTGAGCAAGAGAAGAGAGAATGCCAATGATCCTCTGAACATGCAGTGTCGCTGGTGCCCTGCAAGGTCAGACTGTGTACCGTGCAGTTTAAGGGCCCAGGCCCCGCCGGGTTCTTCTCAGGTCCGCAACACCTTCAGGTGATGAAAGGCGACACTGTGTCCAGCCAACCATTGGCGCCCCCCTCTCCTGCACATGAGCAATAATCTCAAAATCAAGGAGGAATAAACACTCTAAAGGGAGAAGTTAGATATTGACATTACAATTATGGATGTATTTTAGGACTGAATGGGAGAAATTGGGAGAAATGTTTTTGCCCTAATAATTGTGTGAGATTCATTTGAGCGTCAGTTAAACCTAGTGTTTTCTGGAAGGTCTGTCTCTGTGTATTGAACTTATTACACTCAAGCAGGAAATGTTTGATGTCATTGATAGTGCCGCAAGAATCGCAAAAATTATTGGAAGTTTTTCCGATGTTGTAGAGGAAAGTATTAAGTCCTTTGCAGATGCCCAGGCAAAGTCTGTGTAGTTTAATTTCTTGTTGACGTCCTTTGCCCCATTTTGTAAAGGTAAAGGAAGGGTCAAGCTGTAGGTGCTTAGAAGGGTCAATTTTTGGGATTGACTTTTTCCAATTATATATGAGATCCTTTTTGAGACAGCGTTTGGTTTCGGTGTCAGAGAAAGGGATGTGATGGTCAACATTTGGTTTTTTTGTTCCTAGTTTAGCTAATTTGTCAGCTTTTTCATTGCCAGGAATATCACAATGGCCCGGAATCTGTTCGAATACAACATCGTTTCCTTGGTGCTGAATATTAATGAGGTGATGTCGAATGTCACAGACGATTTTATTCTGAGGCAGGGGGTTAGCAATAGCTTGGATGGCACTTAAACAGTCACTGAATATACAAGAGTGAAGTGGATAGACGGTTTCTATCCATTCCACGGCTAAGAGGATGTCGAAAAGTTCAGCTGTGAAAATAGAGATA